TATAATGATCCTGCCCCCCCCCCCCCCTTCCGCCCCGGTCCTTGAAAAGCACCCTAACGCGCTACCCCAGAGAGACTTGTTGGCCACCAGAAATAACGGGACGGCGACAGTCACTTGAAGGGGACGACAGCACTCGTTAGTGCGGGCTTTCCGCGGTTTATGGCGAGTACGATACCTGTACCGAAAAGGGCCACAACACCAGAACTGCTGTGCCGTGTAGAACACGCCCCGAGTCTTGAGAGAAAAGGCAGGCAAACGTTCTACCCCTCCTCTCTCTACCGCGAACGGGGAGGGCGCGGGGAAGGGGGAGCAGGGGGGGCAACTGAACCTCACAACATGATAATACCACATGATTCAAAAAAAAAAAAACGATCGTGTGCCTGGCGGGAGACACACGAGCACAGCAAAGAACACACACACCACCACCACCACCAAAAAAAGACGAACATAAAAACACCAGGGGCTTGTGCCCGTCGGGTCTACGCCACTCGCTGCCCTGCCTGCGTCTATGCATACGGCGGCACACACACACACACACTTCGGCCTTGCTTGGTGAAAGCCAGGAGAAGCGGCCAAAAAATGCGAACAACAATGGCGAAGAACCGCCCCGGCCGAAACACCGCCGAAGAAACACTGCTACCAACCGCGGTTGCCGCCGCCGCCGCCGCCGCCGCCGCGCCGCCGCCGCCGCCGCCAGTGTTCCAAAGTTTCGCTTCGCCGAGGGACAACTTGTGTCACCAAGGATCGCATAATATAGTAGAGCGGGATTCACCCCCCTCAGGACATGCTTCCGCAATCCGAATTTTTACGAGGCCAGGCCTCTTTCATTCCATTCTTGAGCTACACAAAGTTTCAGAACGCACCCATCATACACCCAACCAGAGCCCACCTACGCTTCAATGAACATCCAGAAAACACGATAAAGACTACAGAACCAACGATCGGGGTTTCGTTGCCAAAGAGGAACCAAAGACTAGAAACGACAGCATCAACGAATGTAAAAAAACAACACATCAGGACAAAAAAACACACCAAAAGAGAGGACCCCGCCCAAGCGACATTCGAAAGAGTTGGCACGGCAAGGACGTGCCCGATGAATGCCTCGCTCGAACGTTAAACCACGCCACCCCTGCCGTCGCCCAGGCAGTGACCTGCCCCCCCCGCCCTCACTTAAATAAACACCCATGAGCTTTGAAGCGAACACTGCGTTCACCATTAAATGTCCTAGCGGCATGCCACCCATCAATCCACGCTGCGCCATCACAACCAACTAAAATGTTAAAAAAGCGCCATCAGTAGATGGGTTCCCGGGGGGTTGCCGTTGCAGCCCTCGCCTGAGAAAAACACGAAGAAAATATAATACTTCGAAGCAAGAAAAAAACAAGACAATTCCTTGCGCGTGCAATGCTTCCATGATACATGGGGCCTTGCCTCAACGAACCACAGCCCCAGGATCACGCAAGCAACCAGCGGTGAAAAACACCAAAACTTATGTTTTATTCTTTTATTCTTCGCCCAGACGCTCGGTCCTGTCTGCACCGGGCGCAGACTTTTTTTTTCTTCCAGCAAAGATGCTGCGGATTTGTTTTCACCCGTTGTGTCGCAAACAGCGGTACCCGCCGTATCTTCATCTCCTCCTCTTCCCCCCATGCCTAGTCCTGGACCTGACAAAACACCGCGGCCACAGCCATCTCGGTAGGGAAATGCCCCCCCCCCCCCTGCGGGAGCCTGGGCCGGGGAAAACCCGGCGTGCTCCGTCCCGGCTTTGTAGGGATGCGAGGTCAATGGTCAAACGACTACGGCATGCACGACTATGAATACACCCCCCCCCCCCCCCCCGGGGCCCCCAAATTTTTTTTTCCATTCCCCCCCCCAACCAACCAAGGGGAATTTCCGCCCCCAAGGGAAGGGATGGAAGCCCAACCCCCCCCCTGCCAAAACAAACCCCACCCGGTTGGGAAAAAAATTCAAAAAATGCGGGGAAAAATTTTTTTTGGGGAAAGGAAGGGGGGGGGGACGGAGGGGAAAAACGAAAAAACCTGTT